TGACGATTACTGTCTTCTAGGATGTTGCACCGTGTGATCTCGTGACGGACGTTTCAGAAGTTGTTGCTGCCTTCATCACTAGAGCGCGCTTAAAATGGAGACAGTAATCATATCTGAAATGTCGGACATCTCCGACATCACACAGAGCAACATCGTATACAGACATACCTCGTTTTATTGCGTTTTTCACAAATTGAAGGTTTGTGGTAACCCTGCGTCGAGCAAGTCTATCGGCGCCATTTTTCCAACAGCACGTGCTCACCTCGTGACTCTGTGTCACATTTTGGTAATTCTCGCATTTTTTTAGACATAATTCTATTGCACACTTAATAGACTACAGTGTAGTGTAAACATAACTTTTATATGCACTGGGAAACCAAAAAAAGTCGTGACTCGCTTTATTGCTGTGGTCTGGAAACGAACCCGCAATATCTTCGAGGTACGCCTGTAATTGAGTTAAACGCGTATTAAATTGGCAGTGGTCGTCACTAAATTTTCTTGATACCCTGTGGCAGATATAAGTAAATAAAAATAATAAATATTCGTGTACGCAGAACCTGCATCATTGGTAATTATATTTTTTAAAAAGAGATTTTTTGTTTAGTTATACGCTTGGGTCTTATTTCCTTCGGTTACAATAGAGAAGCCAAACATTGATACAGGGTCACGCTGTTAATATCAATGTCATCACAGACCGAATTCTTGTGGCGGACTCTGGTGTAGGAAGAGAATGGAAATTTGACACTGACGGCCTTGGGAGAAATGCTGTTCGCTGGATGATACACGTGATCTTGTATACCGCCCAGTTCAATACATCTTACAGACTATTTGGGAAATTTTACAGACATTTACGAAGCTTAGCTGTTGTCATTTTTAGATACGTCATCGTTCAGTTAGGGAACTCGCATTTCTTTGTACAAACAGCTGATACGCTAGCCACGTGCTTACGCCCGTCTTTACAGACCGAGACGTAGTTTCCGCAACTTCGAGTCTGTAGCTTGGATAGCCGTTAAAAATAGACACTTGTAAGTGAAGTGACGATGCATACGGAGAGATAACTAAGTCCTTGTGGAATTATTACGTTCAGCCTACTTAAATAGCGCGTGCGTGTTGTTATTTTGCTAATAATCAGATTATTTAGTTCACTAATTTTTTCCAAAAAATATTTTATACTCCTTTGTAATGTCAGTGAACTATCACATTCACTTACACCTCTCAAGAACGTTTGTATATTGGTAATTTGAAGTTGTGCCTTCTCTCTGTCCTTATTTTCTTGGTAGAAAAAAAAACATATGATCAGTTCTTTTATTGCAATTTAGAAAATAGTACCTTTTCACACCAGTTTCTTAAATCTGTTTATGTGCAGAACATGATTAACCACAATTCATTACGTATCTTCCTGGATACTGCACTTTCTCGAAAAAAAAAAATTTATGAGTTTATTTCATGTATCAGGTGCCGCCATCACACATAATAAATAGGACCGGTTCTTGTTTTAATTTTTAATGTTTTTTTAAACGCGGTTTTACCGACTGAGAATTTCACGTATCCGCCTTATTCCACTTGCAACGAATTTTAACAGTCGAGAAAATGGTTTTACGTGTATGCAGTTCTTAATTAGTATGGAAAAAAAAATTCTTCACTTCCGCACTAAGAGGTCAATATTTGCTGTGGGCAGGGCTGTAATAACATTTGAAACCAGTTTTATATAACCCTCGAGGTTAGTGAGGGATTGCAACGTTTCTCTTCATTTAAACATATCTGATCTTTTTTTCTTCTGTTTTTCAGACACGCACTGAGTAGCCTTTCTTTTTAAGTTACTGCAGTCTCCCCCCCTCCCCCAAACACTTATATCGTTTTGTTATAAACATTCGAAACGTTTCTTTGGTCACCAGGTACAGGCGAATCTCTCTACTTACGAATTTTCTGGAAACGAACAATTTGTATTTACGAACAATGCACGGACTAATAAATTACGACTCCAAATTCATTTAACGAACACAGAACCCCGCGTTTACGAACATTTTACGATTCGCGAAGTTCAAATCTAACAATATATCACATGTAAAAAATCAAATTCATCTTGAAGACACATTTCAAAGAACATATTTTGTTCGTAAGTTTGGGTTCGCCTGAATTAACGAAGGTTTCTCGGTTGTAGTAGAAGTTTACCAACGTTTCACAGGTCCTTGATGCTTCCGTCATCAGGTTTGTTTGGCCAGTTATATACTCTCGAAATGTGTTGTAATTTTTTCAAGGTTGGCAGCATTGTTAAATATTTATTGTCTAGAAACGGCAGGATGTATTACCGATATATTTCGTTTGTTTGTTTGTTTGATAATCCTCTGATGTTATCGATTTTATTTACACATTCTTAAAACTGTACGTTGTAATGTTGTCAGAAGTGTACATGTGCGTCTTTGTTTCTTTATTTTTACGTTAGGAAGGTCAGCTATGGAATAGCGTGCATTTGCATTGCTACGTCTCAAGGACGCTTTTCCTAGAAGCAAAGTAATGACGCATATTGAGATGATCTTCAGAGCGTTGGTATCATAATACCCCAACTTTTAATTTTTTTCTGTGCTGAACAGATTAATTATTGAGCTACTGAATTGTTTATCCACGATATGCAGATTCGATTGAAATAAACTTAGCAAATTTTTGCTACATATTGTTTCGGAAGTTGGGTGTTCGCGATGTGCGTGGCACATTCACAGCAGGGCATCAATGTAACATATGTCTGTCTGTATGAAGCAAATTATATAAGATAAACCTTGAAGCTTGGAAGTGTCTGGAACTCAACTGAGTGTCGCAAGTGGACGTTTGTATTCAGTTTCCCGGCTAAAATATTTTTATCATATCTCATACTTCTCATGCGTGCTTCATATCTCGCCCATCACAGTTTTTATTTTATTATTTTTATTTAGTGTTCTGTCTGACGACAGGTTCATATGAACAGGATCCTTCCATCCTTTTCTCGGACTGGGACCTGTTCATATACGTTCTTGGCAGATGACCCAGGAGTGGTTTGCCATTGCCTTCTTCTGTGTGTGAATGGAGTAATTGTTGGGATGCCACAGAGGAAAACTCCGTGTTGCCTAGACCACGGCCTTGCCCAACACAAGTTATAAATTCGGACACCGCCGGGAATCGAACAAGGCCAGCGTTCTAACCGCTAGACCACAGTTATTGTACAGGAATGCTAACAATTACAAATATGTGGACGCTGCGAAAGTTGTGTTTTTGAAAAAATTAACGAAATTGCAGTAATTTAGGTACTAGTGGATGTTACGCATAGAAATTGATAAAGGTGCGAGTGTGGTTCAAGGTTGAGGACGACGACGACACCAGCAACCATGAGGTGGGAAATCTTTAACCACTCTCTTTACAGTCCGGTTTTAGCCTCAAGTGATTGTCACTTATTTGGGCCAATGAAGGGTCATCTGGGAAGGCAGACATTGAATTAAGTGCGGTGTCCTGAATTGGATACGCGGTCAGCATACTTCCTTCTTCGTTGCCGTCATCAGTGTTTTGAAACGGCGGTGTAAAAATTGTCATTGTAGAGGGACACTATATTGAAAAGGAGTGATAGCTTGGCGGTTCTGACATGTATTAGTTTTGTGTAAATAAAAAAGCTGAGGTCAACCTTGAACCACCCTAGTTTCTCTGGTTTGATTTTTAATTTATTCTTGCTATCCTTGACGTACAAGCTATGTTGGAAGATCTTAAGGAAGGTAGGTGTCATAAATTGTTACAAGAAGTTCTTCATTAATTCAGGAATTCTGTGCAGTTTACATAACGTGGTTTATAAAGATATCTGGTCTAGATGCTTTTGATTTGTTGTACACTTCAGGTTTTTCTAAAACGATTTTCGTCAGTAATTAGTAATTAGAACATTGAAACATCAAACACCTTTTGTAAAAAGTAAAGTAAAGTTTGTCCCACTATACGCCATGTAGGCGCTTGGTGTGAGTGGAGGTATAGCTCCTCCCTTCCTTGACCTCGGCACTAGATGGGGGTGAGTGGTCAGCATCACGCCCCGGCCGGTTTTACCCCCGGGAAAGGACCCCGGTACCCATTGGATAGGAGGCTGGGTGGGCCCGAGAGACGGTCTGGACGCAGAGGCTAGAGGAAAAATCCTCTGCCCCCGTCGGGGATCGAACCCCGGTCGTCCAGCCCGTAGTTAGTCACTATACTGACTGAGCTATCCCGGCTCATAGACACCTTTTGTAAATATAGTAATTATGAACGAATTCTGTTATTTATTACCTTCGGAAAAGCACACCGCATCACCAGTGCAAATGTACTTGATTGATGTGTAGGAAAAGTTTCTTCTTTATTCTGAGAACAGAATGGAATCCATAAAAGCAGGTGTTATACATCATTAATGAGCACGTTTTTTTTTTCCTGTATGCCGCAACACAGACGTATAACGACAGTGCGAGCATATAAAATAATCCGCTCCTAACATTCGCACCTCTTTGGGTGTTCTGTTTAACCTCCAGACTACAAAGGCGTATTGATCTCATCTCTGTTACGCTGCTTTCGTAATGGAGGCAAATGTCTGCTCTGTAATAATCCCTTACGCGAGGTCAGGGTTAGGTTTTTTTTTATAGCTGTACTGAAAACGCAAACGACATCTCCCGTGAAATGGTTTAATGAATTTTTAACGCAACGAATTTTGATTAACTCACACAAAACACACTTTGTTCAATGCTGTAGCCCCTGAAATTAGTGGACGGAAATAAAAATTATATGTCACATTGTTTTTTTGTTTTACACGGTTGAAATTGCAAGTTTAAAAGCTGAAGGGAAATAAATAAAAATAATCCATTACGTTCTGAGATCCGCGAACTTATTACTTCTGTTTGGGATAAGCAAATATGGCTAGGGCATTAGAGGGGGTTTATTATTGCACTTGTTGATAATAAGGGCTATAAAACTGACAAGTAATTACCTAACTTTTTCGTACAACATTTTATTCAACGTTCTTTTGTCAGGGCTGGCCAAACTCCATACCCAGACGAAGTTACAGGAAACATCAGCGTGGATTTGATGCAATCCATCAACTTCTGGTCCGACGTTCTCAATCGATCAGATACTGGAGACAAAATGCAAGTACAAAGGAACTGTACATAAATTATTTGTAGATTACATGTAAATCTATGGTTCAGTCAAAAGGGACGTATTGTACAACTTTATCATTGAAGATGACTGTCTTCTGGGTTGTTGCGCCGTGTAATCTGTTAAGACGTTTTCCGACGTTTCAGAGGTGCTTGCTGTCTACATCATCAGGGTCATGATCACAGAAACAATCCAGAGAACAGCCATCTTCGTAATCGCCTCCGTGAGGACCTGAAATATCACTTGATAATCTAGTTAGAAATTATGTAATTCGCAGAATAAGCAGATTGGACTGAACTTCGCAAGTCTCTGTACTGGTGAACCGTCGCTATGCAAGTCGTTTATGTTGGTATTACTGCCGGTAGTTACATATCGTATTTTTGTTTGTCAGAGTGACGCGTGTATAAGATTCAAGGCAGCCCAGCCAAGGTGTAATGTTACTGTACGCGGCAATCACAAGTCAATCTCAATTAATCTCCGTGCAGGCGAGCGCAATTCGAGAATCAGATATTCGTTGTGCAGCGCAAAGTGCAAGTTCGGCGAGGTATAAGGAGGCAATTGACAGCAATAGAAGCAAGGATGTCACGCTTCTGCAAGAGGGACGAACACAGCTCGGCGTGGTTCAATCCGTGATATGACGACTTAGCCGATACCAAGACACTGGAAGGATCATTCGACGTCGAAGACAGGGTCGTCACAGGGCAACAACTGCTAGGGATGATCGTTTTCTGCGTCTACAAGCCTTGAGGCACTGTAGAGATAGTGCACTGGCCTTGCAAAATGACTTTTCCTGAGCTACAGGTCAACACGTGTCTGACCAAAAGGTGAGAAACCGTCTTCGAGAGATGGATCTGAGGTCCAGGCGTCCCGCTAGAGTGCCCCGATTGACGAGGGAGCATAAACGAGAGCGAAAACAGTTCGCCCAAGAACATCAATATTAACAATTGCGTCATTGGCGCAATGTCCTGTTCACCGACGAGTCTAGATTTATGCTCCAGCGCAACGATGGACGCGTCCGAGTTTGGGGACGGCCAGGAGAGCGTTTTCTACCAGTCACAGTCCACAATACTTCAGTTGTGTTTGCTGTTACAAAGAAACCTGTTTTTGTTTAAATACAGGTCTATTTCCAAAATACCCACATTTTAATAAATTTGACAAAGCCCAAGAAAATTTACAACCTTTTGAAAACCTGACCCATTAATTGTTTTGAGGAGTGTCGCATGGCATGTAACCCAAATGTTCATTAACGTGTGCTAGTCCTTTTCCTCTCACAAACCTCGTACATATTTCGTGTCCCAGGTGTGGTATTATAAATGCATTATATCATTCCGTCAAGACTGAGTCTTTAGTAAATGTTATAGCCCTGTGACTCGCCGGTGTCTCTCCGTACTGAAGTCAGTTGTTATGAGACCTAGAGCCTCCGGGCAAAAATAACGTGGAATAAATTTTCTGGGTGGTTTTGTCTGTAGTGTGTACGGGCCTGGTTGTCCATGTGTGTGTTTAGAAGGATATTTTTGGTTAAAATGTTGTATTCAGGTGTCCTTACCGAAATTTCAAGAAGAAAATACAAGTTGCTCAAACTAGACAACATAGTTTATCATCTTGTTAGAGCGTGTTAAATTCTGAGATGCGTTAGTTGATCAAATAATGTTTTTAAGTCTTTGACATTACTTAGATGTAGGTCTGTATGCAAAAGAGTGTTACTATCGGGATTTCTTGAAAATAAACAAAAATGAAATTCCTTCAGTCTTTTGTTACTCGTCTTCGCAGTTTACTTTAATATCTTAGCTGACTCATGAAAGTTAGTTCGCTGCAAGAAACATCCACTGAATTATTCATTTTATATTACGTTTTGGCTTGGTGCCGTATAGTGATCGGTTTTTGCATTAAAGTTTTCACGTGCAACGGAGCAGCGGTGGATGTAGTTTGCTTTATATAATGCAAAGACTTGTATTGGCCTCCTAGTAAAAGATTACGAAATTAAGGAAACTGTAGGGAGAAATAATTTTTAGTAAAAGAAATACATGACAAATACTTTATACGAAAACATGTTTTCCAGATATTAACGTGGACTCGTAAATATGCATAAACAAATCGTTTGTTTTAGCTGCACGTTGTTTATCAACCATTATTAATGGATTTTCTATTAGGGAACTAACTAAGTAAGTCATTTTAGATACTGGGATACTGGGAACGCCCCGTTCTTCAAGTGCCTGAGCACTGCGGGTCCCAACTTTTTAGTTGGCTTGATCTATGGACATTTGGTATAACTCCTTGGACGAAGGATCAGCCCGTCGCAAGGCCTCTACCTGTACACAGAAAAACACGGACAAACATCCATGGCTTGAGTGGGATTCGAACCCACGGTCCCAGCGACCAAGCGGCACAACTAATTTTAGATGAAAATTTTTATTTCTGTCGCATGAAGAAAATCCGTGCTATGAAGTACTGTAACGAGCTGTGTTTTCATTTTTGCTGTCATCTTACAGCTTCGGTAGAAGGCAAGTCTGCTAAGAGTTCAAGAAGGCCTTACGTTTTTCATGCCCCGTTAATAGATTTTAAAGACTCAGAGGGTCGATGATTTTCAGTTAACACGTAGTTGTATTTTGTAAACAACGCCCTAAGTGTTCATTTTTTCAAGAACATAACGGTTGGTCGTTTCTTTAGGGGCCATACCATAAGGCTATGTAATTTGTTACCGGAACAAAGTTTTCATATACTGTAGCTTGTCTTCAGGCTAATTGTTCTCGATGGCTCATTAACTATCCGTTTCGTTAATGATCTCGCTGAAAGTATATCAGGTCATCGTTCTGACTAATGAGAAAGGTCGACGTTAAAAAATTCCTGAAATCTTCAGTCGCATAGATGGCAGTTTAGTATGAAACATGGTGGCAATTTTCAAATCAATTACCCCCTGTTTCAGATTTCTTTGTCCATCACACTTTTTCTCGATTAACCTTGCAGTGTGTAGTGCACTTAATATAAATATAAATTTAGCGTCAATGCAGCGTACGGCGTCTTTATATGCCACCGTGTCATTTTATGAAGTTTCTTAACATGAACCAGTAGGCTGCTTCAAACTACGTAGCGTTCTGTTTAAAACTCGGTTTTCCGGTGCTGTGTGAGAAAATCTGTTTACGAGAAGAATGTTGACAGAAATTCTACTCGCCAATCATTGCAATTAAGCAATTAACACTCGAAACTTGTACTTTAAGACAGGCTGTGACCGCTCCCATCCTCACGATACGCAGTTTATCATAGAATCCAACGCCATTACAGCACATTCATTTGAGGAATCTTAATTTGATAAATTTCGAAAAAATATGTTATTTTATGAGCGAATCATTTTTTTCCCCGTCTTATGATTCATCATATGAAAAAGTCTGATTTTAAGCTATCACAATTATTCATTGTCAGTGTTGATCCTGATTTTGAATGCTGTAACCATATGGATGTGGTCTATTTTACCGACGTTTTAGAGAAATATTTTAGAAACCATTTAAAGATACTTACAGACTGCCATAAGTAGGAAAGTAAAGTGTCTAGTTGCAACTGAATTTACATAAAAGAGAGAGAGAGAGAGAGAACTTGGACAGAACATAAACACCACAAAACCTGTTATTCAGATTATAATCTTTCGTGGCCGTGAAAGTTTATTCTCGACTGGTCACTGAGATACTGAACCTGTGAATGCTCTGACGGAACCTTCCAGTAATGACGGTAATTTCTGTTCATTGCTGCGATATCGTATTAGAGATTCTGCTGATTAACTTAAAGAATGGACCCACATATGCCCTATATTTGTTACCAAATGTACGAAATGGAAATGTAGCGGCTACTAACCAACCCCTGCCATCAGAAAGTGTACGTCGAATGTGAACAGAGTTTTTAAATTCTTTTGTTTTCCGCGTGTTACAAGCACAAGTAATCCATACAGAAAGAAAACAAAATATTAGATTAAATATACAGAGTGTAACGATATATTTCTTCCAAACTAATGGAAAATGTTCCTTGGGTCAGATCGATTTGAAATAAATATACGCCAGCCCGAAGTTGAACATTTATGGGGATAAAAATAAGTGAATATAAAAAGAAATTAGTTGTTACACATTTGTTACACCTTTGTGAAAATGAACTACTATTAAAGCAGGCAACAGATTTTCCATTAAAGTGTCAGGTCTCTTTGTTTAGATTAAACTACTTTTCTTATAAACCCCTCCCATCACATAATAGTTATCGTACTGATTATCAGCTGTACATATTTCTTTCTGGTGTTTAATATTAGGCTTCTGAAAGGCGTGTTAGAATTTTACACGTTTCAATATGAGGTGTCTAGATAAACCTGTTTGTAATCTGTCTGGGGAAAAAATCATAAATTATTATTACAAAATTCTGGCACTGATATCTAAATCAACCGACTACAAGTGGAACAAGGACCCCGACACCACGTTTATATTCTGGTTAGATAGAAAATGTGTCAGTGTAAACAGTGTAAACCAGTGCAAAAACAGTGGCGAAACATCCGTCTTTGCAATGTTTAATTCCGTGGATGTTGTCCTCACTAACAGATGTTATGGGCTCTTTCAACCCTTCCATAAAATGTCCAGATATCTTAAAGCAGATGACTGATAATTCTTCTTTGTATTTTGACGAATCCGTAAGGTATCCAACAGTGATGACACTTGATCACGAATTTCTAAGAGAGGAGTCAACTTTCTCAAGAAATGACTCGTTCCAACCATCTAACTGTAAGCGGTCAGGCTGTCATGTCTTGCTACTAATAGGATTCGAACCCGTTATCCAAACTCCTACTTAGTATTCGGTAAACCCTGTACTTAAATATCCCTGCTCGAAAACAGGTTGTTCTGACTGATGTTTTCCTCAGTACCTTCACGTAAATGCTCCCGGAGTAACTTAAAGTGGGCCCCGACAGCTTCTTTGCTCATATTTCCAAATCATTGCCGACATGACAGTTAAAAGAACGTCGTTA